AAAAATAACATACAAAAATCTAATTTGCTATTGCCTCGTATGATAGTGGATAAGTCCGAACAACAAAAGTTTTATTTTTTATTTAAAACTGTGTTGTTTATATTGATAGCATATGACTGCTATTGTAATTTAAAACTAAATAAATATTGAGGTATATTTTGTAAATGAAGACTTCTATAATTATTAAGATAAATAATGGGCTTTATTTTCCTTTGGATATTTTATTATTCCCTTTTACGTTACGTTATATGTAATATTCATTTCGTAAAAATATTTCAAACAATTGCAAATAAGAATAGAGAAAGTTAAGTATGAAATAAGTTAGTTATAGAACGTTTACATCAGTTTTTGCGGGTGTTTTATACTTACATTCAAGACTGTATTATGAAATTATAACGATTATACGCATCAGCAATGACTTTACTAAGAAAGACAATGGCTGGTACAAATAATTACGTAATCATCAATTTCATCTGGCGGAGGCAAGATAAAAATTAGAAATACTGTCAGCTTAAAAAATCATTACATTTGCAGATCGTGCAGAAATTGAAAGTGTTCATGGGCTTAATTTCTACAGAAATTTTGTCGAATATTCCTTTATTACAATCGAATATGACAGGAGAACCTAGGTAGCAAGCTACGTCATTTTGTCGTCATTTTGACGTCAGTTTGCTACCAGGGAATGCTCGATTGTAGTTGGTTGGTTTTTTCATTCTGATTAGGTTTGAATCTTCGATGGAAACTAGGCCATGGACTGCTATAAACGGCTTCGTGAAAGAGATCAATTTAGACCCCGATCCTGCTGGCTATCTGTCCAACTTTAACAACACTTGGCTGCCTTAGTTGCTGGATGACCATGAACCGAGCAACAAAATACATTTTATTATGAATAAAACCACGTAGAAACATAATGACTTCACTCTAATTTTATCTGAGATCATTTGCGATTTTGCTGAAGAACTCGACTGATATTTTGAAAAACGTCGATATACTCGTTAATTGTTATCACAAATAGATGAATTTTAAGATCAATTTGATATTATAAGAAACATATTTGTTACATTTTTAATTGCGATTTAAATGAAGAGCTCCTTGAATAATATTTTCTTCTTTTGTCTTCTGATACGATCTAAATTTTATTTTTCTCGTTCTTTAAAATAATTCTTTGAAAAAAAGATCATATAATAATTTTTGAGAAAAAAATGGCGCTTATGTTTATTAGCAGGGAATTTTGATTTTCGTATGATTGTAACTTGAATTAGAAACCGGCATATCACTCTGAAAGTGATCTAAAAGCTTTTACATTTACATATTACATCAGTGTTTTTCTCTGAACAGATATTATCATCTTTGGGGATGGTTTTTATGACCAAAACTGTATCGAATTGGAAATCCTAAAAATACGAATGTAGAATCAGCGATCATACATGTCTTTTAGAATTTAATTTTTCGTCACGATGTCATTAAAGATCAAGCTGTCAATGGTTTCAATGGTTGATCCGAGCAGAACGAAATATACGTGAGAGTCATAGACACTATCAAGCAGTATATTTCTGTTCAAAGCAGCTGCTCAACTGGTCGGTTTGGCCTACTATTTTCATTGGAATCATCCACGTTGCAGTCGTGTGCAAAACTTTTGTTTGAACAATTCGACAGATGAGCACGTAACGAAATTCCGTCGGTTCAATTAAAGTATTTGCTATTACGTAGAGCAGATTTTAAAGTTGTAGTGATAAAAAAGCATTGCTGTGTGTTCGTTTTTCATTCACGCGTTTTTTCAAGGAAGATTACGCGGTGTGAAATATACAATTACAACA